CCCCCAACCGGCCCAGCCACTCTGAGCCTCCCTGCGAGGAAGGGAGGAGAAAGCAAGAGGCACTCACGGGGAAGATGCCAGGCCCATCCTTTTCCATCTGCTTGGAGATCTCCTTTTCAAACCCTACAGACAAGGAAATACAACCTTTTAGCTACCTGGAAACAAGCCCCTGGCAGCACACACAGATTTGCTGGGATGCAGAGGGGTACCCCTCAGTCTCTACACCCCCCGAGCTTCCCTTCCCAAAAGGTTTCTTTTGTCCCAGCTCCTGCCCTTGCAGGGATGACACATCCTGCATCCCTGTCCCAGCTCCTGCCCTTGCAGGGATGACACATCCTGCATCCCTGACAGCCTCTTCTCCTGCACATCCTGGACTGGAAACCAACACTCCCCTCTGGTGGCAGTTCAACCTGTGCCCATGTCCCCACAGCTGCCACCCACACCAGCTGTTCCCCAGGCCCGCAGGGATGAGGAGGAGAAATGAAGATGCACGGGGTCATCTTGCAGGAGAGACGAGAAAAGCTGCCCCTCCCACCTGCAGCATGCAGGACACCCTGCCATCCCACACAGCATGGGAGATAACATGAGCCTCATTCAAACAACTGTGATAACACGTTGGTTATTCATGTGTTAACTGGGCAGAGAAAAAAAAGGATTGCTAGAGCCCAGCTGGGAAAAGAAGGCGGCAACATAACGGTGGGGACTGCAGATTTCCTCGTGTTTCCCCCCATTTTGCCCTGCGCCCCGGTCAGCAGCCGCCTGCCACAGCTCACAGCACCGTCCCCACAGCCCACGCTGAGCCTGCACAGCCCTGCCCAGCCCTCCGAGATGAGCAGCAATGAACAAAACCTCCCAGCCTCCCTGCTCACCTTCCCATTTTCCCTCCCTTGGGACGAAGGGCTGTTTTCCTCTCCCCAGCGCCGGCAGCTCCACACGGCATTCAGGAGGAGTGATTAATGAGCACCCGCTCAGGGGAGAGCTGCAAACCCTCCATGTGGGGATTCCTCCTGTTTCCACCTCCAACATTACTATTGACTTGATGTCATGTTGCCTGGCTTTTAATTAGTTTTTAATGGATTGGTCAGCGAGGATAATTACATAGGAGTCTGGCAGCAAAATGCCACCAAGAGCGTTAGTGGAGGTCTTCTGTGCTGACATGGAGATCTCCATCACCCACAGCCCTTGTGCTGGGTCACCCAGTCCCAACTGCTCTGCTCCGGGCACGGGCTTTGAGCAGGAGCAGCCCAGGAGGGCTGTGTGCATCGGGAGCATCCCAGCTCATCGGCATGTGATGGCTCAGCTCAGTCCCTGGCTCTCCAGTGAGCACTGGTTTCAGGAGGACACTCTCTGCCCGGCTGTGGGACAGCGTGTGCTGTGGGCAGGAGCCTCACCAGCCCCAGCCATGCCCTTCCACTGTGCCATGGGCACCATGTGGAGAGTTCTCTGTGCCAGGAGAGTCTAGAGACAGCCTGTACCATGATTTTTCCATAATGGATCAGCACAGATAAGCAACCGGAGGTTTCTTATCTTGCCCCAGCCTTTAGCCCCGTCAGTGTAAATAAACTGTGATGAAGCTGCCTCAGCAGCAGCACTTCACTGCCAGGGGCTGTGGAGATCACCTGGGTGCAGGCACGGCACATCCCCAGAGCCAGCAGCAGCAGGGACCATCCTCACCTGTGTCCACGCCGTGCTTCACCGCTGGCACGGGAACGTTCGAGCACTCGAAGTACTCCAGGTCATCTTCTGGCTCGCTCTTCTTCTCCAGCCCAGCCGGTTTCTGTGCGGAGCTGGTGGAGGCCAGCTTCTCCTCATCGGTGGCATGTCCATCCCGATTTGCAATATCTGGCATTTCCGAGATCAATGCTTCTTCATCCTGCAGGATCAAGGCACGAGGTTAAGCAGGACTGAGCTAATCCGTGGGGATCAGGCAGTCAGGGGGCCCGGGCAGCCCATGGGAGGTTTAGCACGCACCAACAAGCTGCTCCCCACCAGCTCCTGGGCAGGTTTTGGCAGCAGGAAACACAAAGTGCCAGGGACAGAAGTAATTAACAAGCAAAATCCACTAACCCAGCCGCAGAGCTCGGTGCTTTGCTCTGACCCACGCTGGGGACAGGGCTCAGACACAGCACACACACGGTCCCTAATGAACCACGTGTTAAGCAGAGAGTTTCCTGGCCAGGAACCCCCCCCCGAGGACATGCTCACCTCAGGGTGAGCACCCAGCAGAGCTCTCCTCCCTCCCTGCCCATGGGGCAGATCCCCCCAGCCCAAAGCCCAGCCAGCCCCACTCTCCCCCTGCCACCATCTGATCACCCCGTGCCCAGCCATCAGCTCCCAGAGCCAATGCCACCTACCTGGGCACAAACATCCAGGACCAGGGGCTGCGTCTCGTAGGGCTTCACCTTGCAGCCGCTCCTGCAGAGGAGAGAAGTGGGGGCTGAGACTGGGGTACACGAGGGGGCTGCATGGGGAGGATTAGGGGAGGTGTGTGCCAGACAGCCCAAGCAAGGGGAGGCAGCCCCAGCGCCAGCGTTGCACCCGCCGCGTGCCAGCAACCCCACTCACCAGTGAAATATCGAGGCAGAGCAAGATCTGGAACAAACAGAAGGAAGAAGCAAACAAAACACATGACCACAAAGCTGTTGGGTTTGTCTTTGAGGTGTTTATTCCTGTTGAAGGTATGGACCAGAGAAAGGACCCCGAGGTGCTGACGGCGAGAGAAGCAATTGCCGAGGAGCCGGTGAAGAAAGATTTCCCTTGCTGCACCCTCGCCCTGCGTGTCCAGCGTGACAGCATCCCGAGGTCTGAGCACACGCTGATTTTCTGCAGGAAGGAACCATTTCCAGGCTGTCCCATGCCCTGTCCCTGCAGCTGGAGGTTTGTCTGGGACATCTCTGCAGCATCCACGTGTCTCCCACATGAGTCAGACCCGCCTGGCCAGGTCAGAGGGCTGCTGGTCAGAGAGTTCTGCTCTGCGAGCGGGAGGGCACCAGGATAACCCAGCCTGCCTTGAATGCTCTCTCTGCCAGATGCAAGCACTGTCCCCAGGTCTCGTGGGTGGGAGAAGGTTCAGCTCAGGTTGCTCTTGCGGGTGGTCTTGTGGCTGGATGCTCTCCAGCGAGGCAGCTCTCCTGAGAATTTGTCCCGTGTTCCTCAAAAAGCATCATCCTGGAGCTGGACAGGGCAGGGTGCAGGTGCAGCCGCATCCCAACACGCTGGGCATCACCTCGAGGCAGTGGAGGGACAGTTGTGGACCAACAGCACTGGGTCTGTGTCAACAAAGCCCACGGGGGCTGAGGGAGTCACCAATGAGGTGACACGTATCACAGCACTTGCCCCTGGCACATGATGGAGAGCACAAGCTCTCCTCCTGCATCTCACCACCTTCTCACTCCACGTTCAGCCATCTCCCCTGGCTCACTGCCACGCCTGAGCCACCCAGAAGTCAGGGAGTCACTAAGCTGGAGTGTGACAGTCACTGTGGATAAGCGGGGAGGGATCTCCACCTCCAGACTCAGCACTCCCCGCTGCAGGGATGCAGGCAGTGGCTCCAGCAGGTTTGCAGTGAGATGTCCCTCAATCTCCTTCTCACTCCACGTTCAGCCATCTCCCCTGGCTCACTGCCACGCCTGAGCCACCCAGAAGTCAGGGAGTCACTAAGCTGGAGTGTGACAGTCACTGTGGATAAGCGGGGAGGGATCTCCACCTCCAGACTCAGCCCTCCCCGCTGCAGGGATGCAGGCAGTGGCTCCAGCAGGTTTGCAGTGAGATGTCCCTCAATCTAAAAAATCACCCCCCTGCCTCTCTCCAGCCTGCCCGGCCCATCACACACATGTGCCAGCGGAGAACGACGAGTGACGTGGCACAGCAGAAGGCAATTTGATTTGCACACTCACATGCACACCCGGGTCAGAATGAACAATCACTCATGACTGTTTCTCTCCATCGTGCCCTGATGTGAGCAGCTAAAGGGCAGCTCGCTGTGTCCTTACC